GACTCTTGGACACACACACACACACACACACACACACACACACACAGTCTTGTCAGCAGCTGGCTCCTGGGGTCTGCCCTTCTGCTGCAGTTTTTGTCTATTCCTTTATTTAATATGGATGCACCGCCCTGCGTGTGTGTTGGTGTGTGTGTGTATTTTCATGACTGTCTCAGACTGATCAAGACGATACATTTATGAACTACAGTCCTGTTATACCTTTGTGCATTTATTCATTCATTCATTTTAGTTCTTCCTAAACTTTTTTTTTTTTTTTTTTTTAGGCTATGAAAAATATAACTCGATGAGAGCGGACCCCACATTATGTTTCTTGGAGAGGGTGGGCATGCCTGATGCCAAGGCTATCGCAGCAGAGCAGAGGGGCTCTGACATGATGGCAGATGGCGTTGATGGGTAAGAGAGTGGCTTCAGTGTCTGAAGGCTGTTCAGTTATTCTTTCAGGTCAACTCTCACAATGTGTGTTTACTTTTTTGGGGGGGAATGTTGTAGGTGTTTCTTCACAGTCTGCACGTCTGACTGAAGTGTGCTGCTCTGTCAGTCACGTCCTCTCTTCATATCTTTGTAGTTTCTTTGATCCTTTGCTCATCTGTGTTTGTTTCCTCTTCCTCCCTGACAGTGAGGATGAGGATCCAGAGTACAAACCACTACGAATGCCCTTCAAGGACGACATGGACGACTTCACCAACTCCCCGCTGGATGACAAAGACGACACTGCGGAGGGAGAGGCTGAAGGTAATGTTGGTGGAAGTATGTGCTAATAAAACAACGCTGTAAAACTGCAAACGGGCGATTCATGTCCTGTACGTGCTCCTCCGGACCGTCACGAGTAAATACTGCATTAGTGTGAAGATACTGCCAGCCTTTGCTGCATGAGCAACAACTTGGCCTAAATAAATAATGAAGACTTTTCATAGCCGACGCCCCGTCACTGACCTTCACCCTCCCCGTCTTTGTCTTACACTCTCAGGTGCCAAATCTGGCGAAAGTGGTCAGATTGCATCCATTGTGGGCGGAGAGTCCAGTGAGCTACTCTACTGGCCGGCAGCCTCTGCACTGACAGCCCGATTACGGCGCCTTATTACGGCATACCAGCGATCCAACAGGAGAGAGCTGCTCCGCCAGGAAGCCCTCAACCGGCCTGATGGACGCCGCCGCCGACGCAGGGACTTCCTGCCGTCTGTCCCCATGGTTGCTGAGACGGTCGGAGGAGTGTCTTACATCCAAGAGGGATCCACAGTATTCATGGCAGACGGAAGTCCATATTTGGCCAAAGGAAGTGCTTACTTTGCCAAGGGTGGACAGTTGATGCCAGAGGCTTCCCCCGTCATGACGGCCAGCTCTCTGATGCCTGACGGAGCCTTGTACTACAAGGAGAGAAGACAAAGGTAGACCTGTCACTTCATACTGGTATGTGGGACGTCCGCAGACGTTTAAAATGATGGCTCACACTTCCTGTTGAACCTTTCTTTCAGATGGACTCGTCGTGAGGAGGCCGACTTCTACCGCGTTGTGTCTACGTTTGGCGTCGTCTTTGACACCCAGCGCCAGAAATTTGACTGGGCACAGTTCAGGGCCTTCGCTCGCCTGGACAAGAAAACGGATGAGAGTCTGGAGAAATACTACTATTCATTTATCGCCATGTGCAAACGTGTCTGCAGAATGCAGGTCAAGACTGATTCAGGTAAAAGGAAGCTTTTAATTCAAAGGACTGTGTGGTGTTTCCTCATCAGTGCAGAGGATGTGATAAGTTGCAGTCAATGAGATAATGGTGAACTTTTAGTTTTCCTTCCTCAGAGGCCTGACTTCTTACTCTCTCTCTCTCTCTCTCTCTCTCTCTCTTACAGAACTTCCAGACCCAACCCTGATAATTGACCCAATCACTGAGGAGCGTGCTTCTCGTACCCTGTACCGCATCGAGCTGCTCCGTCGCATTCGAGAGCAGGTTCTTCCTCACCCCTTGCTCTCTGAGCGCCTCAAGCTTTGTCAGCCTTCCCCGGACCTACCAGAGTGGTGGGAGTGCGGCCGCCACGATCGGGACCTCCTGATCGGAGCCTCTAAGCATGGCGTTAGCCGCACCGATTACCACATCTTGAATGACTCTACACTGGCTTTCTTGGAGGCTCACCAGCGCTTTACCAACCAGCGAGGGTCTGGTATCAGCACGGGGGTCCAGGGAGAGTTCACCAAGGCTGGAGTCGGAGCGGCAGAGAGTGCCCCTGCCGCGCTTTTTACCCCCGCAGAGCTGGAGAGTGTGGCAGCTGCTGCCAAGATCGCTGTTGATGCAGCAAAAGAAGTGAAAACAGGGGAAGGAAAAATGGATACAGAGGTGAAAAAGGAAACGGCCGAGGAAAATAATCTGGACATTCAATGTACCAAGACTGAAAACTCTGAAGACCAGAAGAAAAATGAGGGACAGGTTGGACAGGAGATGGATGAGACTGCTACTGGATCACCCAGAAAAGAGGTCAAAGAGGAGGAAAACATTTGTCCTAAAGTGGAAAAAGAAGAGACGAAAGAGAAGATGGATCAGAAAGAACAGATAAAAGAAGAGAATCCGTCTGAGGAGAACAAAGCCACCACTGAGGAGGAGAAGAAGAGTTTGAGTGAAGACTACTCTCAAAGGGACCAGGAGGAGATGATTATTGACCTCTCGGATCACCTCGACACCTCTCCTAAAGCACAGCCAGGGCACAAGACGGTGGGAGAGGATGAGGGAGAAAGGGAGAACCCAGAATCTCCCAAGTCTCTGAAATCAACCGACCCAGAGAAAAGCCCCGAGGGCGAAGAAGAGGACAGGATGGATGACGACGACAAATCAGAGAAATCCTCTCAGGCCGAAGGTAGGATGTGGTTGTTTTTTTTTTTTTGTAGTAGTAGTAGTGGGATTGTATCCTGGATGCCTCCAGTGTCCTCACATTCCTGTTGTTAACCAGTTTTTGTCCTGGTTGTTGGCCCCCTCGTTGCTGACACGGGCCTATTTCTGGTGTTTCCCCTCATGACTTGGCAGTGTTTTAATGAGAATGAGTTCCAGGGGCGAGAGAATAAGATTAAAATGAGTTCAGATCCCTTGATAAGGGTTTGAAAAACCTTCACATTATGAGTTGCAAAATGGCTGTCCCCTCTGTCTGAACAGTGAGCGCAGCATCGGAGCAGAAGAACTTTGACGAGGAGAGCATCGCCTCTCTGAGCACGTCAGCCCGGGATGAAACCAGAGATGGATTCTGCCCCGACGACCTTCCGGAAACATCTACACTGCAAGCCTTACAGGACCGTGCCTACGCCTTCTCATTCTGGCCCAAGGTGAGTCTTTGGTGTTAGCCAGCAGGCTAATTAACTCAAGGCTCCAGTGGAGGTCAGGTGTAATCACTTTTTAAACAGTGACAGTACCACGTGGGAAACACTTGGTTCAGCTTTGGGCTTTGCCTCAACTCTGTGAACATGAACGGCGCTGTGTGTTCTGTGGTATTCACCAAAACAAATGAATATATTTGAACAGCAAATAAGAATTGTTGTCCTCGCCCTCAGGATCGAGTGATGATTAACAGGATGGATAACATCTGCGAGGCTGTGCTGAAGGGCAAGTGGCCGGTCAACAGACGCCACATCTTTGACTTCCCAGGGAACCTGGTGCCTGGACACAGCTCTGCGTTAGCTGCAGCTGCCACCGTCGACAGCCCACTGCATAGGCGGAGCCTGGCCGAGCTGACGATGACTGGAATTCATACGCCGTACAGCGCAAGTGAAGACACAACCATATCACCTCAGGTTCACGTGAGTCGCTATCATCGCTGTCCTCGCTTTCCAAGGCTGCAGTAACGTAGAGATAAAGAGGTCAGGGACCGGTGTAAGCGTTGACCTGTGGTTACAGGATGGCGCTCTCAGCCTGACGATACCTCGCCAGAGGAGGAGGAGGAGGAGAAAGATCGAGATAGAGGCGGAGAGGGCGGCGAAGAGGCGCAACCTGATGGAGATGGTGGCCCAGCTGAGAGAAAGCCACTCTGCTGCTGCAGAGCCACAGAACCAGGCCATAGACCTCACCAAGGTTAGTGACCGACTGTCCGTTACTGGGACAGACTGTCCGGTACTGGGACAGACTGTCCGTTACTGGGACAGACTGTCCGGTACTGGGACAGACTGTCCGTTACTGGGACAGACTGTCCGTTACTGGGACAGACTGTCCGGTACTGGGACAGACTGTCCGTTACTGGGACAGACTGTCCGTTACTGGGACAGACTGTCCGGTACTGGGACAGACTGTCCGTTACTGGGACAGACTGTCCGTTACTGGGACAGACTGTCCGGTACTGGGACAGACTGTCCGTTACTGGGACAGACTGTCCGGTACTGGGACAGACTGTCCGTTACTGGGACAGACTGTCCGTTACTGGGACAGACTGTCCGTTACTGGGACAGACTGTCCGGTACTGGGACAGACTGTCCGTTACTGGGACAGACTGTCCGTTACTGGGACAGACTGTCCGGTACTGGGACAGACTGTCCGTTACTGGGACAGACTGTCCGGTACTGGGACAGACTGTCCGTTACTGGGACAGACTGTCCGGTACTGGGACAGACTGTCCGTTACTGGGACAGACTGTCCGGTACTGGGACAGACTGTCCGTTACTGGGACAGACTGTCCGGTACTGGGACAGACTGTCCGTTACTGGGACAGTGTCGGAAGAATACAGATACAGCATTTATAAATAAAATAAATAGAACCCTGTGGGATACGTGTTTTCTCAGGGCATGCATCATCACCACAAGTCCTCACCCTCACTGACCGGATTTCCAAGTGCTCTGGTCACAAGCTCCGCCCTCAAGGCTCAGATGGAGCTGCTGCAGCAGGCGATGCCCTCTGGAGAACGGGCTAACGGTTCCCTCGATGCCGACGTGCCCGTCATGAGGAGGAGGCGTGGCCGCAGGAAAAATGTGGAGGGTCTGGAGCTGCTGTTCATGGGCAACAAGAGACCAGCAGCGGTACAGAGACACTGTTGACATGTTTGACACACTTATGTTTCTGCCACACATGTGCACACACATCAAACGCGTCTCTCTTCTGTGTCGCTTGGTTGGGTGTCCAGGATGACGGTGACGTGACGGTGGTGGAGGGGGTTCAGGAGTCCGCCCGTGCCCACAGATCACTGACCGTCCCCGAGCAGAGCCCCAGCACCAGGTCTTTAGCATCAGGCAGTCTGGACGAGGAGGAAGCAGCGGCGGCGGCGGTGTCAAACAAGGAGCTGGGAGAGTGGCTGCGACAGCACCCCTCGTACAGCATGGACATGCCTGGATACACACCAGTACGTACTACTTTACCTGCTTCAGTCCTCATCACCGCTCCACGTAAGCTTGGAGAAACGAAGCAGGATTAGGAATTTATTTTCTTCCTGTTCAGACACAGCCTCAGTCTTTATGTCAAGTGATTATTTACACGAGCTCCGGTTAATTTCAAATTGTTTTTCCTGCCACAGAAGAGTGAGGAGCTGCTGCTGTCTCAGTTCTCCAAACCCAAACAGAAACGCCATCGCTGTCGAAACCCCAACAAGATCGACATCAACACGCTGACCGGGGAGGAAAGAGGGCCCGTGGACACCAGACGGCATGGAGGCAAGGACAGCCGCGGNNNNCAGCAGACGCTCACTGACGCTCACTGTTTAAACACAGTGTTTTGATTGGTCCTTCAGCAGACTGACTTTGTTCATGTTTTACCCTGATAAACCTTCATTATCTTGTCTCAAAGGAGAGTGATGTCTTGGATGAGTGTCTGCTACACGACTCCAAGTCCAGTCATTTTCATGTGCATCCTGTCAACGTCTTTGTTAAAACCTGTCATCTTTTTATTTGAATTTTTCTTTCCCCAAAATCCTTCAAATCTTTGGCTGTAGATTTACTGTAACAGCAGATTCTTCAGCCGGTGACTCATAACCAAAAAATAAATAAATGCTAAAGATTAACCAAGATGACCTGAATTACCCATAATAATAATAATAAGTGTCTCTCTGAGATGTATTTATTTTGTGGACAGTGAATGTGAAGTCATGACAAATGTAAAAAAAAAAAAAAAATAGAAAACAGTAAATTGTACAGTAACAGTTATTATCCAGTGTTCAGTTGGACAGAATGTCCAAAGTTCCCAGAATGCCTCAGTTGGAGCTGACTTGTTAGTACCCATCTGATAGAGGCTACAGCGTTAATTATATTCCGTCACACATTTTTTCACTCTTCCATTCATAGATGGGCGGGGCAATGGCTCCACCAATGAAGGAGCTTCCCAGATGGCTACTGGAGAACCCAGAGTTTTCCATCGCCCCTGATTGGACAGACATCGTCAAGCAATCGGTCAGTGAACGGCGCACATTCCCTGATTAGTCCGTTAGTCAAACATCCAATCAGATGAGTTTCCTAACAGCCCGTCCACCACACAGGGTTTCCTCCCAGAAGCCATGTTTGATCGCCTCCTCACCGGCCCCGTCATCAGGGAGGAGGGCGTCCGACGCCGAGGTCGACGACCCAAATCTGAGATCGCCAAGGCGACAGCCGCGGCTCAGGCTGCCGCAGCTGCTCAGGCCGCCCAGGCCTCACTGGCGACGGCTGCTTCCTCCGCAGGTAATGAACGTGCTAAATATAGTAAATAGGGCTGTCAATCAACGAGAAATACTGAAACACAAATATATCACAGCGTTGACGGTGCTTAATTACCTTTAATTACATTTTGAAATTTCATACTAAAATATTCATACAGGATTTGTGGCAACGTTGACATCAGTGAACAGTTGGTGTTTTTATAACACCATGGTTTACGGAAGAGAAAGAGTTAGCTTAGCAGCTACACGCACTCAGAATGTTATGTTTAAAATGTATGTTTTAATGCATAATATAAGAGTAAGAAAGAAGTCAAAGGGTTAAAAATAAATATATACAGTACTGAACCATCCAGTTCCATATGTACTCTTGGTTGTGATGGTCATTTTTATATTATTTATAAATTATTTTGTATATTTTGCAGCCTCGTATTTTCTTTACATCGTTCTCAGTGTTTCTGGTCGTTTCCTGAGCGCAGTTTGTTTCTGTGTGGTTGAAGCTCTGTATTTACCCAGCTGTCTCCCTGCAGGGGGCATCAATCCTCTGCTGCTGAACAGTCTGTTTGGAGGGATGGACCTGTCGTCCCTCCAGAGCCTCCAGTCTCTTCAGTTGGCTGCAGGTCTAATGGCCTTCCCTCCTCCCACCGACCCTAAGCAGGCTGCAGCCAGCGCCGCCGCCGCCGCCTCCATGCTGCCCCTCATGCTGCCTGGTATGGGAGGACTCCCCAACATGGCCACCGCCCTCCCCAACATGTTCACCCTCGGTGGCCTCTTCGGCGGTAACCTGGCAGCAGCGGCCACATCCAATTCCACCGCCGCATCAGGGAACACCAACGGAACAGCGGAGGGAGAGGGAAGAGAGAGTGGCAACTCGGCGGCAAAGCGGAAGAGAGAAGCGATGGAGGAGGGGGACAGTGTGGAGGAAGGGAAGGAGCCGGGGGACAAAGAGCAGGCAGAGGGCAGTGGAGGAAAAAAGGAGAAAGAAGGTAAAGAGGGCAAGGAGAAGATGGTGAAATCAGCCGGTGACGTCACCTCTGCTGCCGAGCTGCCAGCTGTCGACTCGCCGGCGGAGGCTTCCTGTAACGGCGATGCTGCAGCCCTGCTGGCAGCTGCCGGCATGTCTGCCAACTCCCTGGCCTTCAACCCCTTCCTCCTCTCCACCGTGGCCCCCGGCCTCCTCTACCCCTCCATGTTCCTACCTCCAGGCCTGGGCGGCCTCAGCCTCCCCGGCTTCCCCGCTGCGTCCACCTTGGCAGAGCTTCAGAGCGCCATGGCGGGGATGCTGGGGGGCAGCGCTATGTCCGCTAACCCCGCCAGAGGAGGAGCAGAGGGAAATGTGCACCGCAGAGCGGCAGGAGGGGCCGCCGACGACGACAAGAAGGAGGAAGATGAGGGAGGAGAGAGTGACTATGCGGAGGAGATGGAGGAGGACGTAGGAGGCGAGGGAGACGACTCGTTGGTGGAGGACGGTGGAGACAGAGAGGAGCCTGCAGCGTCTCCACAAAAGGACAAGAGTGACTGAATGAGTGAAGTGAGCGAGGGTCGGCCTGGGACGTTGCTTCACCCGTGACCTCCCTGCTCCGACCTCCTCCACCTCTCCTCCCATGTTTACACGCCTCCAACAGAAATATTCAAACTATTATCAGTCTGTTTTGTTTTTGTTTCCTTTTTTTTTTTTTTTTCTGTTGTTATTGATGAGTTGTTTGTTTGTTATTTCTTTTGTGGCCAGGTTTATTTACTATTTGTCAGAGAGGATGAAGTGTGTGTGTGTGTGGGTGTGTGTGTGTGTGTGTGTGTGTGTTCAGTCTCTCTGAGTGATAGTGTAGTCAGGGAAAGAAGAGTCTGGCTCTTCTTCAAAGACTGTTCTCTTATCTGTCGACTCTTCTCTTCCACAAACCCAGACACAGGACTTCACATGGTTCCAATAGTGCTAATATTATTATGTTTATTATTGCTGCTTCAGCCCGTGTCATTATTATTATTATTTTTTAATTTTCTTCTCTGTCTGGACTGTTATGTTGCCGTTTGTTGGTTGTTGGCAGCGAATGGTCGCAGAGAAAAGCAACAGCCGCTGCTGGTATGTTTTCTCAAAAAGAAAAACAGTTCTCAAAAAAAAAAGGTAAAAATGGAAGAAAGAAAATGGCATTACAGCTGAGCCCACTGTCTGACAACGCTGCTGCAGGAAGGAATTGTGGGTAAAGAGAGTCGAGCTGTTCTGTCCGTAGTTCTCACACATATCAGGTAGAAACTGATGAGGAAGAAAGGAAAGGAGGCTCGTCTGGAGCTCAGTCTCAGACACTGATGACCACACACACACGTCATACACACACACGTCATACACACACACGTCATACACACACATACAGGTCCTCTGAGTTTCACCACTAGACACACCCACACACTAACCCCCCTCCAGCCCCCCCTCCCCCTTAACCTCCGAGTCATGTGACTGTTTCTGGAAGGACTTCCTGCCAGCTGCGCTCTTGTGCGTGCACGTGTGCTGGTGCACGTTAAATCATTACTGTTAAACTCAGTCCCACACTGTTTTGAGTTCTAGTCTCAAGTCTTTCCACTGCCAAGCTGATCCTTCCTCTGCTGGAGTCGGCGCCTGGTCTGGGTTCAGGGTTCAGGGGACTTTGTGATCCTGGTCCTGTTCAGTCACTGAAAATTCCCTTGGAAGTTTCTGTGAGGGAACAGGAAGTGGTGTTCCGTACGCAGACAAGTGACGTTTCAGGTTGAGTCTGTGGGGAGGATTTCCTTGATTTCCTCATCGTTGCCACGTTCAAAATTTTTTTTAAAGTTACTTTTGTTTTGTCTCTTTTTTTTTGTTGTTCTGTTTTTCTCCTCCACGTCCCACTAATTCCAGACAGATTGCTGCTCCTTACTGACCTCTCTTTAAAAGACTGTTGCTCTAGTCACACACACTGACACCAGGCCTGGCCAGATCAGGACTGAGACACACGTTCGGCAGAGTTGGACACTCAAACATTTCTTCACAAAGTTCAGCTCTGGATGCGAAGTTTAAGAGAAAAAAAAATACTTGAAAGACGTGACAGGTGTATGATTTGTTTCCATTCCTGAGGCCAGTTTTATGTGTCTTGATGTGAATCGAACACTGCAAGTGGTTCTAATTTTTGAAAGTACATTTTAAACACACTGTGGCCAGGTCCGAGGATCTGGTGATACAGCCAGCCCAGCAGATGACGAGAGGCAGCACTGGGCCCCGGCTTTCCTCTCCAATGCTGAGACAGCAATAACCAAGGCAGCTTTTGAATGTTCCAACATTACTGTCCCAATATACACACACACACACAGACACACACACACACACAGCAAAATCACACACCCGTGTATGAATAACCACAAGTGTCATATAAATGAACTAAAACTGTAAAAATACATTATACATTAAGTACTGCAATCAGTTTCCTCTCACTCTGTTCCTGTTGATGCACTGGTGTTAAAGAGTTAAAATAATCAGGTACCTTTATTACTTAGCTACTTCTTGAAAAAAAATGGACTTTTTGTTACTTTTAGCCAGCAAGCTGAAGAGCATTACCTCAAAATTCTTATCTAGCCTTGAAGTTTACAAACATACCATGTAAATGTTTTTGTTCCTTTTTTTGGTGTGTATCTTTTTGTTTTTTGTTTTTTTTTCTTTTGAAGACATCATGTATGATGAATTGTAGCTATGATGCTTTTAATAAAAGTGAATCACGATATTCGCCTAGGAAACCAAACAGCGGCCTGCTGCTTCATTATTTATTTTATTTCTATGTGTTTTTTTTTTCCAGAGTTGAAAGAACATTGGTCCAGGTCTCAGTTTGTCTAAAATACGAACTGTACCTCAACTGATGAGTACGGATGTCCCTTAGAATTGTTCTTATTTTGAATTCTTACAGATATGTAAGTATGCTGATATTATTGAACATCTCTACTTAGTGGAATTACAATCTCCAAAAATTGAATCTACAAGTCAGAAAACATAAATATCAGACACTCGATCCAACCACTTCCACCGACCAATAGAAACACCTGTGTGGCCTCATTTATTTTCTTTGTTCATAGAAGGACAGGACCTGTCTCTGTCTGCTCTCCTGGTTGTAGCGGCGCCTCCCTGCTGGCCAGTGTCACGTGACTCATGACATCACTTTGCTTCACAGGTCTGCTCCTCATCTCACAGCCACGCAGATGAAGTGGACAACAGAGGAAACGTCCATCATCGGAGATGAGTTTCTTAAATATACCTGAGTGTGTGTGTGTGTGTGTGTGTGAGGATACGTCGAGGCGAAATCTGGAAAATATGAAATTGCATTTTGTGTGTGTGTGTGAGGAGAGAGAGAGAGAGAGAGTGCATGGCTCCAGCCAGCTGTCAAAAATGGCCTCTCTCCCACTGGAGCTGCTGACAAAACATAAACTGACAGCCAGACCCCTGTGTGTGTGTGTGTGTGTGTGTTTGAGCGAGACATTCTGGCTGGTCTTTGTGCCTCAGAAGCTGCAGGCTGGTGGTTTTTAAACTGCTCTTCTCATATGTTTATTACAGAAGATATAGAACAGGTGAAACGGGAGTCATTTCTGTGGAAGTTACACACAGTTGCATTCTATTGAATGACCACTGGGGGCAAACCTATTTTATTCAATTTTTTTTTTTATTTTTTATTTTTTTATAAAAACAGACATACAGTAGAACACGTGGAAACCAAGTATTAATGAATGTTGTTTAACGTGTGTCTGGAGTCGAGGGATCACAACTCTCTTACATTACATGACACATGAACTCAACAGCGCCTCCTCAATTTGCCGATCGGCCATATTTGGTACTGCAGAACTCCATTGAACTCCATTTAAAACGGTCATAAACTGTCATTATGAACGAATATTTCACTGTAAACTCATCGAACCTCTGACAGCGTGAGGACAATGGAACAGACTGATGTGTACCGTGCTGTTCCGTACTGTACCATGTGACAAATCATTGATTTAAATTTCAGTTGTTTAACGTGTGTCTGGAGCCGAGGGATCACAACTCTCTTACATTAAATGCACATGAACTCAACAGCGCCTCCTCAATTTGCCGATCGGCCATATTTGGTACTGCAGAACTCCATTGAACTCAATTTAAAACTGTCACAAACTGTCACTATGAACGAATATTTCACTGTGAACTCTTCACATTGTGGTGTGTTTTTATTTCTACTTTGTAGACTTTGTCAGCGGAACCAAACCCTGGTGCCTGCAGTGTTTAGTGTCGGAGAACCGCAGCCTTCTTTTCAACTCCATCACTAGTGATGAGGCTTCACCGTCCACAGTGATGGAAGTCAATGCCATGTCCCAGGAAGAGTAGAGTAGCTGTGTCTGTGCGTGTGTGTGCGCGTGCGTGTGCATCTCCTGTCAAGATCTCTCCACTCTGCTGGATGTGTCACTTCCTGCTCTCTGTGGTTGTCATGGAGAGGCCAGGGCTCCAGCGATAAAGAGCCATCTGCCGTTGGCATGACCACCTACAGCCGGGCCACCGTCACAGAGACGGTGATGGATGGCCCCCAGAGAGAGGGGAGGTGGAGGGGAGGAGGAGGGGGAGAGAGAGAGAGAGAGAGAGAGGGAGGGAAGGGAGAGAGAAAGTCGACTGACCAAAAGTGTGTGTGTGTGTGTGTGTGACAGAGAGAGGGAGGGAGAGAAGATGAAAAGTGAAAAGGGATGAAAGAGGAGGACGGCAGAGGAGGTTTAAGGGCATAGGAAAGGAGAAGAGTGTAGGGAGGAGCAGCAGAGAAGGAGACATGTCCAAATGTCTTCCTGTTTACTCCACTGCGACCCCCACCCCCTCCCCTTTGCCCCCACTCGGCCAGCTTCACCTCTCTTTATCTGCCTCTGACTGCAGAGACAAATGGTAGAAATGTGACACGGAGGGCATCGGTTGAACACACACACACACACACACACACACAGAGAGAGAGAGAGAGAGAGAGACGGGGACACAACTGCACGATAGGACAATTCACGCGGCTCTAAACCTGTTAAAACTAAATATAGATACCAATTAGATCGACCGTGAAGTGGATGTCGTGTCTGTCTTTACATCTGATCTCAGAGCAGCAGCACTGTGACCTACAGAGGATGTGATGGCTGTCTGTCGAGTTTCACCGTGACATCACTGCCCTCTTGTGGTCACAGTTGGTAATGTCTTTCTCCGGACCCCGGTGTAACTTACTTCTTGTACTTTTCTTTTCCTTCTTCTATCGCCCCATGAAAAATGTTCGGGAGATCTTGATGTTTTTATTATTATTATTATTTACAGTATATAATATTATACTTTTATTTCATGTATTTATATTTAATTTTTATCTTAAAGCCAAGCTTTTTATGTAACGGCAACTAACCACCAATTCAAGGTCCCATATAGCCTCCTTTACACTGAACAACACTGTTTTTAAATGATAAATTATTATTATTATTTTAATGTTCTATCCATTACATTACACCATGATGTGTGGAGATACGTGTGAGACGAGGGTCCGTGGTCCAAACAACAGCCCTGTTGTTCCGGCGTTGTGCTCTGATTTGATCCGGTTTATGGGCTTTCTGTCCCGATTCTCCTCAGTCCAGAAAATTCCTGGAAGAGATTTAAGAGACGAGCAGCCAAATCATTTCACAGCGCAGACAGCCGGGTGCTTTCCTGTCAACTGCTGCATTAGCACACATTCTGCCGTGCTGACCTTCACGTCTCT